CCCTGTGACAGAGGCCATATGCTGGTCCCGGGCTCGCACTGGGCACAGCAGAGCTCGGGACCAGCTTGACAGCGGGAGGGGGGGAGCCGGGGAGGGCGCAATTCACGGGACCTCATACAAGCGATCCGCCGGCTCTATAGCCGGCGGATCGCTTGTATGTTAACAGGCATCGCTGCCTGCTTTTAAATATCGGGCATTTCCCGCGCGCGCCCAGCGGACGTCTGAAGACGCACGCTCAGATCTAGAGCTCCCGGCCGTCCGTTTTTTTTACTATGGCAGGCCTGGAGGTAGTTAAAATATAATTGTGCTAAGAAAAACACGGGGGCTATTACTGATGTCCTGAAAATTCTACTTTTCCGAGGCAGCTTTCTGGCGTCAGTACTTTTTAGGGCAGTGGCACAGAATAACAAACATTAGAAGTTCTGTCCTTACGGTACACAATGGCCATGTGCTTTGATCCTGTAGAAATTATTTTTTTATGTCATTCTTTTTCTTGTAGCATAGGGGAAAGCAGTTCAAAAGAGAAAATTCCTTCCGTTCTTGCATAAAATTCAAAAATTTATATTTCATTTCAAAGTTACAAATGAGTACAAGATATGGTATATCAATCAATGTGGGTGTGTGTGTCTGTGTCCTTGAAGGACCATCCCCCGTCCTTATAGCCATATTCTTACGTTTAAAATAACCTGAGTGGTTTACCTTAAAAGTAATTCACATTAGCATAAGGGAGTTCAGTTCTTTTGTTCAGTTCCTCCTTCAATCCCAGTTCCTCCTTCAATCCCATTTTAAAGGCCAAGTCTGCTCTGTGAACATTCCTAACAGCTGTTTCAATTATACTTTTGGGTCTGCCCGACAGGCCTACTGATTGATTACCATGTGTAAAGGTGCCCATACACTTTACAACCCTCACAAGACTTTTGTCTTGCGAGGGTTGTAAAGTAATTTAAAAAACTTACGATCTGCCCATCTTGGACAGGCAGATTGTACTTGCGATCATCGCAAGCCCGCCCCCCTAAGGGGCGGGCTTCCGCTGACTGCACTGCTGAACGGGCAGTGTGCGCGTGCGCACACCGGCCCGTTCGTCTGTTCTCTCTCGATCATGTTAAAAACCAGCTGAATCGTATGATTCTCGGCTGGTTTTCCAACATGCTTGATATACAAAAGTCGTGCGACCGTACATTAGAAACGGTCGCACACCTTCCATACACTGCACGATTCTCGTACGATCGTGGGATTTCCCGTGATTCTCTTACGAGAATCGTGCAGTGTATGGGCACCTTAACGCAAAAATCAGTACTCCAGTTAAACTGCATTTCCAAACTTGGATAGATGAAAATATAGAAAATCAATCAACATATGTAATTACATATTTGCCTATATGATAATTATTGTTTTAACAGACCTTGACAAAAAACTTTCAGTCTGAGTGAATACAAAATATTTTATTCAATGTCACTTTCATATAGTTTTAACAAACCAGAAAATTAATAAGTGATACAAATCACTTTTTTTTTTAAACAAAGTTTGGTTATGAACGGTTTTCATTCAAAAAGCGAACTAAGACACAGTATGACCTGCTTTTGTATATTACAAATGTGAGATCAAGTGTCTATCCTGTGGATAGCAAAATTGTTCAGAACACCATCCTGAGAAAAGGTCGATTTCTATCTTCATGGAAGTAGCTGGACACTTTTGTTGCCCTACATTAAAATAATAATTACAAGGCTCAAAAACTTGGAGAAACATTCTGTTGGTGAACTGTTGTTGGTACAAAGCACTTGTGAACTGTAGTAAGGAAAACCAAATCAACTTGTAGTCCAACAACTGTAAAAACTACAATGAGCAAAGAAACATACGTTAAAGCACGTTGTTGGGTGAAACAAGAGCCTGGGACATGAAAGACAAAAGTGGAAGTGCAGTTTATAAACTTTAATTCTGTTAATAAATTAGTGCTGATGTTTATAATAACAACTTTAACACAAAATATAATCTCTAAATGTTTTATTTTAAAGCAAACCTATTAGCTCCCGTTCACACTTGTGTGGATTCAACAGCCTGTGCATTTTTGTGTGTCGCGTATGGGGCAGCCCTATGCGCAATAATGGCACCAAAGAGATCGCTGCATCCCCCCCCCCCCCCAAAAAAAAGGGG